AAGCCTCCTGTCAGGCAGTGAAGTAAACAAGTTCATTCAGCAAATTGCTTTTTCAAGTAGCTATCTATATTATCCTCAGATGGGGTTTTGTTTGTAACATTTACAATGGTATAAATTTCAAGAAAAGTTTCTCAGTTTTTGGACAGTTGATGCATTTTCTACTCGGATGACACCAAGAAGATTGCATGGCACGTCTTTTAAGCAATTTTTTTTTTGTCGGAACCTAGAAGACTTGTTAAGTTAAACTGAACTAACCCCTGGTCATCAGCAATTTTTCTAGTTCCAGATTTCAAAATAATTCCCACAAGATCTTATTGTTTTTTTTGTAGATCACCTAAATGATTATTCCTTTGCTCCCCTCTTTTGTTATTGAAACTGTCTTTTTTATCCCATTGCAAATCATCCTTCATTATATTTTCAATCAAAACATCAAGTACTTTAAGGACTAGATGGAGTTCATCCATTAGTTCTTATTAACCGAGAGGGAGGTCTGTATGGGAGAATCTTGACCGAGGTCGCCAGTACAATCCGAACGCAGTGAGGTCTGTACCAACGACCGAGGTCAAGATTCTCCTATACAGACCGACCTAGCTCGGTTAATAAGATGCTTATTATATGGCTGTGTCTTATATGCCAATTTTTTATATTCTTTGTACCTTTTTTTTCTAGACCGTTCTAGATGCCGGTCTAGATAGAAAAATCTAGATCGCTTTCAATATTGATTTCAGCCAATCAAATTTGTGAAATCGGTAGTTCTCAGTCCTTGTGAGAGACAGCTATATAATAAGTATTACATAATGACTAGGACTAGATGGAGTTCATCCAGAATTACATAATGTCAAGTTCAATATTCATAATAAAAATGATGTTTACCGCAGTATCTCTCTTGCATTCTTTTTCGTGGAATTTCAATCATTTCCTTTCATGGTTCTTTTTAACTGGAAATAATTTAATTCAAATTAAACCTTCCATCGGTCATATTTATGTGCCTTGCACCATACACGTGCATAATGTGATGTTGCTCCCTTCAAACCCATCATAAGTAAACTAAACTTGTAATCATCACCCCCAAGGAAAATTCAAGATCTACTGTTATCCCATCAATTACAGTTTTCTTTTCACTTAATGCAGAATTAATGTCTTGGAAGACTTGCAAAGGATAATTGCAACGTTTGGTAGTCTTCCTTCCCCTTCACAACAGTATGTGACTTCTACAAAGATCATACCATCTCCAGCTTGCAAAAGTGCAAAACTCAGTAAAATGAGACTGGAGTTTCTTGTAATTCAGTAGCTCCGGAAATCTTGACTTTGACATGTCATCTGGGTGGCTTGTCGAGTGGCCTTTGATCGCTTTCTTGGTGAAGATCAGTGAATGCCATTTTTGCTCCTTCAGTAGAACCCGGAATGACTTTGGCTAGCCATCCATGACCATGTTAAATTTGTGGTAGAAGGAGTCTCTTACACAGAATTTGTCCAGAAGGAAAATGACCCTTTCAATTTTTGCCTTTTCCTTGTCTGAAGGGGCTGCAAAGCCGGTGGTAGCGGATGTTCTTGTAGGGGCTCCTCCCACCTGGCCATGATGCCCTTATGGTGTTAATATATGGGTGCTGCCTGACCTTTCCTCGGCAATGACAATACTTTTTAGTTCAAGCCCAATGACTCTGCAAAGCACAAGGCAAGAAGAAAAAAAAGATTATTGGTTCCTAGAAAAAGAAAAAGGAAAAGATTATTGGTTCCTAGATTTTTTCCTTTTACGGCTAAAATGTCTACCCTTGTAAAGCAATGTTTTCGTTCTCCTCTGGATGGGAGACCCATGCATGCAATTAATAAGTTCTTGATTCTCAGATTGTAGTTCTTCAACGGTTTTGTCCTTTCAGCAACTAGTCTTTGCAAATCATTGAAAAAAGTTTTGATTTCCATGTCTAAATTGTTGTTTCGTTTTCCAGTCCTAAAGTTCATCCTTTGCGAGGGAGATTTCCCCTAACCTCCACGATAGAAATTGTCTGCCCTCCAAAGATATGAAATTTCTGAATTACTTTCCAGGACTATGGAGTCTGTGTATTCACCTTTGACATCTCCTGGTTAAGCGAAATCTTTAAGAAATCATTCCATGCTTTCAATAAGGGCAAAGAATGCCTACCGCAAATAGGACATTCCCGGTTACCATTTTAGCAACGTATGCTATCGAGGGTGTTCCAATTGATGACTTCCGCTCAAAAGAAGACTCAAGGGACGCAATATCTGACATTTCCGCAGCAAAAATACAAACGAAATAAATGAATTACTATCTTTAATGCAATATAAACATATCATTGGAAAGATCTCTTCACCCCTCATCGAAAATGTTGCAACACATGTTGCCCTAGATTGCAGTGATCTTGCGCCAAAGATTGATGAGAGTTTCAACCGCAACTGTAGCACATGTTTAAGAGCCATGATGATTCAGGGTCAGAGGCCAGCGGTACATATTGTGAGGCTTTGTAACCACTCGTGAGTGCAATGGGGGGAAAAGAAACCGTTTAGGTCCAGAGATGCGCTCGCAAATAGCTTCCTCGACCACAAATTGAATTTCTGAATTCGGTTATTTGACGGAAAAAATTAACCCCACTAAAATAAGAATTCAGCCTTATTAAAGCTTCCGAAATCTCAAAGTTTAACCTTTGTTTAGTTGAATTGACTGAGAGCAAGTCATTCAACCAAAATTACAGAGCCATGTATGGGAAAAGAGCACTCGGTGAAGGGATGGTTTGGGACTTCATCTTCATCTTCATCTTCATCTTCATCTTCATCTCTGACGTTCACATGTGAGTAATTAATTTTCCCTCTAACTTGAACAAGTTTTAAAAACTTTCTTTCCCCCCTTGAAAGCCTTTAACGACCGACAATTTTAAATCCCAGTAAAGGAATGTTGAGCCCATGCTTGGACGCCATGTTGTCCTCGCTTTCATTAAAGAGCGGAGAATTATAACACGAGCCCACGTAACGGACAGCCGTAGCTGATGCAGCTACATTGGGGCGCTGCGTGACAACCCTTAAGTTCTATCTCCTAAACCTTATCCTGGACTAATAAGAACAATACTCTTACAAGCATCGCATCCATCAATGCTGAAACATCGCGTTTAATGCATAGACTAAGCCCAATTATTGATTATTTAATTACATTAGATCGTATCTAAACGAGACGCAAAGCTAAAAATACAAGATGCTCCAAAAAGGTAATAAATTGATTCCATGACTTCGAACCTTTTTCTATGTTGCTCCTACTCCCGAGGTAGTATAACTCTGCGTGATTTTCCTGTCGTAAAGGCGAGAAAACCCGTTATTTTTCCTTGTGAAAACAGTTGGCATTGTTAACTCGCTAAACACAAGACAAAGTGTTTTCACTGTATTTCCGGACTTTTCTGACTTTATCTAGCTAAAAGTTTTCTAGTGAAAACACAACCGATGCGTGTATAGCCTATGTTTTGTCATTTAATTGCGGTAAATCAGAACTTTGCGCCTGTAGATTATCTCTTCTTTTTTTTTTGTCGTTTTCTTCCGATTTTTTAATCAACTTATTTTATTTGGGTACCTGCTCATTTCCGGAAATGCAGTGACACGCAACTAATCATGGGGTGTTTTACTTTTTAACAGCCTCTTCTCCCGCCCCCCTCCCCACATAGCCGGTTAAATAGACATTCGCGCGCTTCTCGAAGTTAAATCACTCTAATGAAACGCCTACACTGTAGGCTATGGTCCCATTCAAAACATTAAATATTCCGGAATATGAATATTTATTATATAAATACTGATGAAATACCAGGATTTTTCCTTTTACTAAAAAATCACATCTTCATCGCGCGCAGTGAAGATACTATTTTTATCTTTTACTTGTGAGCATATAATAATAATAATAATAATAATAATAATAATAATTTGTATAGCGCAAATTCCATACAATGTTCAAATGCGCTTCACAATAACACAGTAATAATTAATACAACTATTAAAATAAGATAAAATAAGATAAATACTAGAACTACATACAAATGGTGTCGCCATGGTTACTAACATGCTGTTTTGGAAGTTCTCTCTTCCTCATTAGAATTTGATGTTGGAACAGAAAATATAAGTATTATTGTCTTTATTTCTACTTTACAACTTCATATCCGAGTTTCATAACGTTTTTGTGACAGGCCGTTTGCTATAGGTGACCGCTTTAATAGTGCTATTTTGCTGTTTCGAAAATGAATAAAAAAAGTTGTGTTTTATGTGGAAATTTTATCAGTGTCTATGAAATAAACAGAACATTACATGGCCACTTGAGGATACGAGTTTTATCTTCTGGTGGTGAAAGCATCTCGCACGAGTGAGCGAAGCGAACGAGTGAGAGATACTTACAGCCCTCGAAGATAAAATTTGTATCCCCAAGCGGCCATGTAATATCTTCTATTTAACATGTAAGATTAAATAATTTGTTTACACGTTAACTTTCAACGCCTCTGTGCGTGTTTTACGAAAATGCGAAATATATCTGTCAGAAGAGAAAATAGTTAACGATGAATTCTAAAAACTGCCTCTTTTCCTTAAACTTTCTGACAGAATTTTTGTAAACTCAACAGTCAAGTACACCAAGACAGTCAAAGGATGCATGCAAAATCTAAAACAAATTCACCGTCCAGTTTTCAAGAAAATTCAAGTCAAGTCTAATTTTGGACCCAGCATTGCAACCCAGCAACGTTGCCATGGCGATGGCAAATAATTTTTCGATATACTTATAACAAACTGATCCTTCAATATTATCTTTATTTCAGGGTAAGATGTGATTGCGATTTGTTAAAGCTAAGCCTCGCTAATTTTAGTTTAAACATCTTGCATCAGGAAAGGGAAAAACTATATCCAGTCTCCTTGAAAAGTGATAAACGCGTCGGTCGACAGTCGGTCGACAGTCGGTCGACAGTCGGTCGACAGTCGGTCGACAGTCGGTCGACAGTCGGCCGACAGTCGGCCGACTTGTGGGCCGACGCGTCGGTGGGATCTGATTCTTTACCTTTACCGGTGAATCTGCAGTTTTCAGTTTTCCTACTTCTTGTGAAATCTTTAGGTGCTAATTACGAGAGAGTATATTTCAAGGTGTCGATGTGTTTATTCAGAGAACTGAAGATATTGATGTAACAAAACCAAGCCTTTACTTTGTATATTTCAGATCTTTACTCCGATTTTTAATAACAAAACGCTACCAACAACTGTCAACAACGGTTTCGAAAGGTGCTAATTATGAGAGAGTATATTTCAAGGTGTTGATATTTTATTCATAGAATTGAATATAATAATCTAACAAAACCAAGCCTTTACTTTGTATATTTTAAGATGTTTACTTCGATTCAATAACGAAACGCTGGCAGCAGCTGTCAAAATTCATCTACATAATGAACTCGTCTATCACGATCTCGCTCGAATTGGTACTGAAAAAAAGAAAAAAAACCAAACACTTTTCTGCGTTTGCGCAGACCTTATTGAACCAAGATGTACCCCATGACTGGAATATTCTTGTCTCCATTGTCAGCACCGTTTCGCCCTACATTCCCGCAGGACTGCTTTTTGTCAACATATCCTGCAGTGCCAAATCCAATCCTGGATTCAGGAGAGTAGCAATCTATCTCGTTGTTACCAATGATACCAATCCTTGCCTTTGAAGCGTCCGAGTAGTCAAAACCGCCGGGATCGGGTTTAGCATTGAACCCTTCCTTGTTACAGTTGTACTGTAAGGAGGCCTCGGAGCCAATCAGATTCTTCCACTTTTCACGTCCCAGTGAGGTAGCGCGATATTGGCCATCGGCAATCAGTGAGTGGAGAGAGGTCGCGAGTTGGTCGATGACCTGGAAATTTATTTGGTCATTTCCAACCTTCATACCGACACAAATCTTAGAAAAGGGTGTTTTCCAGTAAGTTGGTAGTTTCGTTTCGCGTCTGTCAAACCCAGTCTCCCCACCCTGAGTGTTGAACGATTTCCGGTCGGTCCACAGAGCAGAATCATAATTGAAGTTTTCCTGCAAAATTTGAGAAAATTCAGCTTTAATTTTTAAACATGACGTCTATACAAAAAAGAAAAAAACATGGATGAATGAATGAATGAAGGATTGAATTAATGAATCAAGAGAAATTTATCGTCACTTGACGAATATTTGAAGAGATAGATGAATGAATGATACGACTGAGTCAATCAAATAAATGAATAAATGAATGTGTGAAGGAATGAATGAGTGGATATGCGAATAAAGAAATGATTGACTCAATGAATGACTAAGTGAATATATGAATGAAAGAAGGAATGAGTTGATTAAAACCTATCTACAAATTTGGATCTATAAAGTAATTTTCAGACGAGTTTTCAAAATTTCTTTGGCTGATATCGCATGTTTCCGATGACTTTTAAAATTGTGCAATACTTAACAATTATCAGATGAGGTTGACCATGATAGCGATAATTATCAAGGTCAAAGTTTTGTTTTATCTGCTGAAGCTGAAGGCTGAGGTGAATAACACAAACCTAGGCCTTGATAATCATCGCTATCATGCGAAAACCGAATCCACTAATTGTTTTATTGATATTATTATCATTATTATTATTATTATCATTATTTTTAATAAATTTACCTAAATCATTTTTTACGTTTACATACAAAATAGGAATTAGGAAAGAAATAGAAAAATAATAAAAAATGAGAAAAAGACACACGCACGCACACACACTTGCATAGTACAAATAGAAGAATACTAAGCTAAACGCACGTGCAAATTTTTATTATGCATATTCCTGAGCGCATAAAACTGTCTGTATGTATGACTCACCTCAACAGATATAAAGTATATTGTCTGTAAGTATAACGTAAGAGAATGTATAATAATGGGCCAGTTTAACTCTCTGTCTTCTATCTGATAAAAAGTCAATAATCCAGCATAATATATGGTTCGGAATATCGTAATCTAAGAGTTTAAGCACTAAGATATTGAGATCAATAAGATCGAACGCCTTACGGAAATAAAATAGAAACACCCTAATCACGGTCGAATTCCCATCGGAGCTGACGTGCCAGTTATGGATCATGCTAACAAGTGCGTGCGTAGTGCATGATTTAGGTATTATCCCATATTGTCTTTTGTCGATTTTCTTTAACACGGCAGGTATCACAAATTCATGAACAATATAATCTTCTGCAGTGTTGGAAAGGATAGGCGTAAGGGAGATAACGCAAATTTGCTTGTTGATGTCTTGGATAGGTCTTTGTTTGGGGACAGGGACGATGTCTTCCTAGCTCTTTCAAAGATAAGGGCAAACGGCCTTCACGAAGGGAGGCATTGATGATATCCATAAAGGATGGCGCCAAAAGATCCGCATTCTCCTTTAAGAGCCATCCAGGGATACCGTCCGGTCCTTGTGCCTTAGTTAGATTAATAGAGCATAACTTTCTAAAGATAGAAAACTCTGATATCGGTGAGAAATCATCATTCATAGTTCTGCTCCAAGATACAAAATCATCCCCCCCTCCCCCCTTAAATAGATTGTGGGTAAGCGGTTCAAAAACCTCCATTGGGGCAAAGAAAGCTGTGTTGATGTGGTTTGCAAGGTCATCTGCTGATAGACCACGAGTACCTTCTAAGTGATGAACGGACTTTAGAACATTATCACGTGACCCAAAGGACCCCCTCCATTCCACTAAGTTTCTTAATTTCGCCCCACCATTTAGATGGGAACTTCCCCTTAGATGTTGCACTTTACACTCGTAGCACTTCGCACGGCATCTTTTACGTTCTCGTTTAACAAGATTTCTCAGATAGTTAAACTCCGCTCGGTCTCCTCGGCTTAATGCCACTTGTCGCTTTCGAATCAAGATCTTAAGAGTTGAGTTTATCCATGGTGGTTCTGTTCGGTGGACAATTTTAGGCTTCATCGGGAAAACAGAGTCAAGGCCGGTTTAAATAATCTCTTCTAACATCGATACCTCTCCTTCACAAGTGGTCATAGCTCTCAACATCGCAGTAACATCGACTTCGTAGAAATAGGTTTGCATTGCAAGACGATTACTTGGTCGTACGTCCCTTGAAAAAAACAGTTTGTATTGTTTACGATGTTTTAACCCTTTGATTTGGCTGTACTTCAACTAAGCTATGATCTGAAAGACCGAAAGCGGGACGTTCAACAGGGGTGTCGTAGTAATCCTGAAGGTTGGTAAGAATCTTGTTGAGAGTGTTTTTCCCACGAGTGGGAAAATGCACAATCTGCTTCAGGTTGAAATTTGTAAGCTTTGCATCATTCAGATGGTTAAGGTAACCGAGTACAAGAAAACCGCAATTTGAGTATTTAGACTCCAAGTCCATTAAACACTCAGTCAAATAATTTAACATCATAGAATTTGTTGCTTTTGGTGGATGATATACAACGCCAGCAATAATACTTGAGATGCCCCATTGGGAGACGAGTCGAGGGTAATTTAATCCATTAAACCTCAAAAGAACATTTTTCGTCCTCGAGATCCTCCAGAATAGTAAAGGGGATTGATGATTTTATATACATGCACACCCCGCCATGTCTTGCATCTCTTCTGTCCCGTCTGATCAGGTTATACTCATTTATTGCCACTACAGAGTCGGGAATATGACTTTGAAGCCAAGTTTCCGTTATGCAAACCATATATCGACATTTCCGTTAATAACAACACTGTTCACTTCGTCAATTTTCGGTGCCAAGGACATGACACTCGAAAGGAGATGCGAGGGAACATGCTGCGAGGACGCAGCTGGTTTAACAGTAGATATTTTAGGAACCATAGCTTAACTTCCAATGGTCATCAAAGTATGGCTAGGCTTCCTGGCCAGTCGAGCAGAGCCAAATGTTTGTTGAAAATTATATGAGGCACACAAATCACCCCTACAACTTCGTGAATAAATAGCAGGGATAGCTTGGTTATTTGTCTGTAAAAAAAGCCTTGAAGAAAAACCAGAGCGTCTGCCACGATATTTAAAAATACCCAAAGATTTCAGACGGCAATTGTTAGACCGCCAGTGGCTCTGAGCGCGAAGAGAAAATAGCTTTTCTCGGGTGTAAACCTTGCGGGCGACAACGTAAACCAATGAAATTGAGATTGTAGAAAAGGAGTGTCGAGCAGGCATAGAGTAAAAACTCACAGCAGAAGGACGGATATCCAGCAGCTAGAGAACAAGGTAATCCAGGATTTCTCTAGATACCTATAGAGATGGTTAAATCTCTCGAGGGAAACAGCAAACACGTACAGCCATGCGTGTTCCAGGTAGTGATAGGTCGATGAGGAATGAAACGTGAGCACCCGTTGGAGCAAGAAAAACATCGTTTCGTCAGTGTGAACTGATTTTCCAATGCAAAAAAACATTGGGATGAAAAAGCGTTGCAAAGAAACACACAGACCAAAGCAAGAAACTAAGAAAATTGCGGAGACCTAAAAACGTGGCAGCCATTATGGCGCGCATACATCATGGATTAACAGTTATTCACCGAAGTGGAGGTGAATAGTGGTGGGACCTTCACCGACACTAAGGCGAATGTTTGTTTTCTTACAAACCACATGGAAATCAAACAAATTTAGTTTACTCTTTTGTGTTGTTAGTTTACTATTGTCAATAAACAAAAATATGTTTTGATATTAAGGTGTTGACGTGCGATTTTGTCTCTTCAGCCACTGGAAGTAAAATATATTGGCTAATCACCTCTAAACCAGCCAATCAGCGCGTGCCAAAAACTATTCACCTTTGTGGTAAATACTAGAAAATACTTTAAACCATCCCTTGGCACTTGAAAGAACGCTGGCTTTTCCTTATGAGGCCTCTTCTACCAAAGACTTCAAATCAATTATGTGATCATTGATGGCGTGTCTCGTACCTTTGCTCCGTCTATTTTCATGACCATTGTCCATCCACCTCCTCCGCAGCCTTCAAGTGGAGTCATCTGACAGTAAACGGGAATTTGTTTGCCTCCGACATGCAGTGGGAAGGCTTTGTCTCCGTAGGCCCTAATTGAAAAATAGCAATATTCATGTCACTATATTCCGTTGAAGGAGAAAGAAAGATTCATCCCAAGTCATTACTTTTTTAATTTCCTAATTAAACATCTACTGACAGCCACATTTTACTTTGTCCTGACACGCAATGGATTTAACTTAGTTTATTTAGTCATAAATCTAATCGGTTTAAGTCTACAGTAGGAGATAAAACAAATAAAAGCGGTAAAAGCGTGCATATGGCTAATGTTGTGTCAAAGTGGGTTGAAGAGTGCCATTGAAGCTGTTATCAGTAATACGCACTTTTTGTTGGAGGAGGATTCCTGTTTTGAATCGTCCGAAAAATGTGCAATGTACAACTTTGTAAATAGTTTTTATTTCTAACAATAAAGTAACGTTTAGAAATAGGTTTGACACTATTATTAAAAACGATGGAAAACAAGGTTTCGATGCCATTGTTAAAGCACTTGAAGTTGGACATTTCACCAGTGTCAACAATACAATAATATGATAACAACTGTCAACAATATAATTACGTTCTGAAAAGAACTCAAAATCCAACTACTTAATAACTTTTTGAAATAGGGCGGTATAACATTATAATGAAAACGATAAAAAACAAGGTTTCGATTCCATTGTTAAAGCACGTGAAATTGGACATTTCATTTCACCAGTGTCAACAATATAATAATATGATAATAAGTGTCGACAATATAATAACGTTATAAAAACAAGAACTCATGATCCAACAATATAGTAACGTTTTGAAATAGGTATAACATTTACAATTAGAACGATAAAAACAAGGTTTTAATTGCATTTTTAAAGTCAGTGTTCACAATTAATCCAAAAATGTAATAATGTTTTAAAAACAAGAACTCATAATTGTAGTTAGTATAATTTCAGAGCTAAGCAAAGAGTTCCTAGCAATCTGATTGGTCGAGCGGTTCCTTATATGACGCTATATAACCCGCTCCACGCGGTTTATATAAAATGTTAAAATGTTCATAAGTGTTACTGAAATGTTATGATTTTAGAAATATTTCCGTTGTTCAGCTCTGAATTTATACTAAAACAATCATTCGCCTCAGGTTCGGCGAACAATACTTAAATAATTCAAAGAAGAAACTGTGAAATTACACGTGAGAAATGACGAATAAGTATCTTTTTAGGGCCACAAATGTAATTCGATTTCAATGACAGATGTTTTGCAGCTGGTGGTTCCAAGAAAACTTTCGATACCATTGTTGAAACATGTGAAGCTCAACAGATCACCAGTGTTAGTGTTTTTCATAACTATGGGGTCAGTGAGTTTAGTTTGTATTGCACTTTTAAGAGTTGTTACCTTGCAGTTGTTGCATGTCATTCTTTTTTCACTCGAATCCAATTGAGCAATTTCAGTATTTAAAAACATGACATGAGGATTTCATTTGAACACCTAAGCATTGTCTGGTGATTAAGTTGTCTTTGAATTCTTTGGTTTCCAAGTTGACATCAGGTAAGTTGGGAATTTCAGTAACGATAGTGTCTTTGTTGGTACTAAGGAACCTTGCATAAGTTAACAATCAAATTCTTCATTTTGAAACTTGCGACTATTTCCAGCGAGTACTTTAGCGATAATACTTTCCCATAAAGCTATTTTAATAGAGTCAGTACTATCTGCAACGATACAATCAGATTTCCAGATCGTTTTTCGGTCATGCACAACAGAGGTCTTGTTTTCAGGTTTTTCCATCACTTTGACTTCTATGTCAGCAGTTTCATAGATATTTAGGCTGAAGCATTCTTTAACTCTGTGCAGCTGAGATGAGAATTCTTTGTTAAACGAGCAGCTTGTTTCTGCAGGAGTGATTGTGGCATCTTTTGAAATTTTGTACTGTGGTTCAGCATCAGATGAAAAGCTTGTTGTGGACAAGCTTTTCACTCCTTGTATCTTAACTAGGGATTTGTTAACGAAGGTTTTGCTGCAAGTTGCTTCTTTTCTTTGGAGAATAGCATATGATTTTAACGTTTTCGTCAGCAGAAGTTTGGAGATTACAGTTAAAATGGTTTTTTTTAGTATTTTTCGCTCTTTTAACTGTTGATAATAAATGTAAATATCCTACAAGTGTTGTTTCTGCAAAACAAATGATAATGAATGAATGTTTTATTTTTCCCATTTATATAAATTTACATATATGAATGAAATTCCATGATTTCGTAACCATAGCAACAAGACTTCGGTCGATAATTACGTCATCGATTTTTTTTCACGAGCATCTAGAACGAGGACGTACAACAGACAAACAAGATACGCTTTGGTGGACTTTTTCAAGATCCCAAGAGTTTATCAAAGACAAAAAAGCGTTAGATTTTCCTTTAAGAGACACTAGCAAAAATTGCACTTAATTTTAAAAGTAGAATACAAAATCAAACACAACGAATATATGAAATTCACCCATCTGAATTGCGGTTATAGAAGCGTATGTGAGCACGATCTTCGCAGTAAAGAGCACTATTTAAGCAATAGTGAAAATCAAACTTGAAAAAATTCAGGCCTGTACGGGATTTGAACCACTGAGCTCTGCGATACTAGAGCAGCACTCTACCAATTGAGCTAACAAGCCAACTGGGAGCAGGTCATCAAATTAATTCGACATAAACCCGTAAGATGATAAATCCAACACAACGAATATATGAAATTCGTATATCTGAACGGCGGTTATAGAAACGTATTTGTGCACGATCCTCGCAGAAAAGAGCACTATTTAAGCAATAGTGAAAACCAGACCTGAAAAAATTCAGGCCAGATATATTCGTTGTGTTTGATTTATCATCTTACGGGTTTATGTCGAATTAGTTTGATGGCCTGCTCCCAGTTGGCTTGTTAGCTCGAATCCCATACAGGCCTGAATTTTTTCAGGATCGTGCACAAATACGATTAAGAATACAAAATGTTGATTTGGTTACTGAACATTTAGGGATAGAAAGTTTACAGTCCGACAACGAGTACATGGGCAAGCATTTGTGATGATAGTAAATCTTCTTTTTTTTTGCTGTAATTTTTCACATCATGACTCCATTATCAAGAGACTAGTTAATTAGCATGCAACTAAGGAAAGGTACAAGATTAGCATAAATTACAGTAAACGGCCTAAACAAACACCTTGGCGTGGATGGAATCTGTTTGCACGTTCAGTGCTCATTTACGCATGCGAATGTATAACATTTCTTTAACGAGGCAATCAAATTTGCCGCTACATTTCGTGATGATGTGAAATTGCTCAATGAAGCGTTCAGGTATTTCACTATTGTGTTGGCGATTATAATGTTTGCAAGTCGAAGATGACTTTCCAGTGTGCCCTTCTAGGCGCTCGTGTAAGTGACCAAGTGTATAACCCACATACCCTGCATCGCACAGGTTAAATTTAAATTCATAGACGAGACATTGTAGGTTGACAATTAGGGGCTTAATCTCGTGTTGCTTAAGTTGTTGCTCGAGCTTAGGGCTTACAAACACTGGTTGGACAGTGACGTTCAACTTAGAACTTAGATTGTTCAGTTGTTGTTTAACATGAGTAGCTAAAGACCAACTGAGAAGAATAACCAGTTAGAAAATAATCGATAAGCGCGATCCACCATGGTGTTAACATGACTCTGGAAATGCAGAAGAGAGACCCGTGTTAGTTGTTTTGGTGTACACCTTGCTCTCAATCTTTGATGCACGGTTAAGTAATTCAGTTCCTAAAAAGAGAAGGGATTCTTCCCATTCGATTTCCATGGTAAACTTGAGGGAAGGATGAGTGGAGTTAAGGGTATCTAGAAACTGGCCAGCGATTATCCTATGAGGCATTACGGTCATCGTCATCGTCATCGACGTACCTCTAGTAATACCGCGGCAACTGACCGTGTTTTTCGAGGTCTTCCTCAATCGAACGCATGAAGGCATTAGCTAGTAATGGTCCAATGGCAGAGCCCATAGCGACTTCATCCGTCTGTTGGTATAAAACACCGTCAAACTGGAAAAGATGGTTTTTGGAGGAGGTCGATTAATTTGATTGCCTTGTTAAAGAAATGTTATACGTTCACATGCGTAAACCAACAATAAACGTGCAAACATGATATTGTTGTTCGGCCTCGAGCACCGTGGTTTAACGAAGATATCAGGAAAGCTAAACGGTCGAGACGAAAGGCTGAAAAGAAGTGGAGAATTACTGGACTAGCTGCAGATTTTGCTGCTTTTAAAAAGGAAAGGAATCGTGTGGTGAACTTGATGAATGAGGCACGTCGTGTCTATTACAATCAATTCATTGAAGATAATAGTACTGACCAGCGGATGCTGTTTATGCCAAGTGAGAGTCTACTGAATATGTAGCCGGATAGATCTCTTCCCCCTAATACTGACGTTTCTCTGCTTGCAAATGACATGGGCGAGTTTTTTATTACCAAGATTGCTAATATCAGATCAAAGTTGGACGGTATCTCTCCATCGCATCTTCCGTCGACGTCGGAGCATGATCTGGTATCTGAACCTAGCGATATTGTATTGTCTCATTTTCAATGTCAAACGGCTGAAGCAATACGCGATATGATCACATCAGGGAAGAAAAAGTCTTGCATCTTGGATCCAATACCTGTGACTTTGTTATCTGCATGCCTTGACCCAATTCTTCCTGTAATAACTACCATGGTTAATTTGTCCTTACGAACTGGATATTTTGCTTACGCCTGGAAAACTGCTGTGGTACATCCATTATTGAAAAAGCCTGGCCTTGATCTACTTTTCACGAATTTTCGACCAATTAGCAACTTGCAGTTTGTGTCCAAACTTACTGAACGTGTGGTAGCTAATCAAATTCAGTGTCACATGATTAAGAACAATCTCTTCCCTCAGTTTCAATCTGCTTATCGTTCCCATCACAGCGCTGAGACTGCATTGTTAAAAGTAAAAAACGATTGGCTCATAAATATGAACAAGGGGCATGTATCACTCTTGGTGTTATTAGACTTGAGTGCCGCCTTTGATACTGTTG